ATTTCATTCCTGCTTAAACATGATACTCTTAATCAATATATTTAATTTAAGTAGTTTCACATTTATATCCCTTAAATAAGGATAGACTCTTAACTTGAAGATGAAATCACAATTGATATTGCTACTTTATTTCTTTAGAAGCCAATTTAATAAAAATGAATTATACTTCCTTATTAGAGAGAAGAAAAAACAAACCAAGGGTCTCATCTTTCTTTGTGCTTGGTGCTGCCGCATGCATGCGGTGTGCTATAAGGCTATAACTATAAGATCGTAGTAGCTTCGGTTCTTTTTGTTTTATGGGCTCATTGATATGTGCAATTGTATAGTTGTGTCATGTGTGTTTTTATATGCATAGATGAATGAGTAAAGAGAATTCCCAATGAAGAAGATAACCTGATTGATCGGAAGTGCCGTATGATACTCCAAAAACAGCAGTGACTCGAGCGTTGCAGCGTCGTCTTCGTGATTTGCCATTGGTCGAGATTGGTTGTGGCACTGTTGTGTCGACACTGGATAGAGCCATTTAAAAATAAAAAATATATATAATAGAAGTTAAATAACAGTAACTGAATTATTAATATGTTTTTGTTATGCTAAATTTAATAATAATTGAATTAAGAATTTTAAAAATTAAGATAAAAAGGAGAATTTAGAGTTACATTTACGTGAAGAAAAGAGTGAGCAGTTATAATTTTTGGTGTACTTAGAAAAGAGATTGTGTTTAAAGGTTAAAATTAATTATTAAGGATATCATGATTCTGACAAAATGTAGAGATAAAAAACAATTATTAGAAGTAATATCTTATAAATTATTATTAGTTAAGGTTGAATGTCATGTTAGCTATACATAAATTAATTTGTAATTCTTTTTTAATTAATTAATTTTTTTTAATTTATATATAAGTTAATTTTAATTATAAATAAATATTTTATTTTTTTCTTCTTATTTTCTCTCTTAAAAATAGTGATAAAGAAACTCAACCAGGACTTAATGTAGAATAACACTTATTCATACTAGCAGAAAAAAAGTACTTTGTACCTACATTGTATTAAAAAAAAATAAAAAAATAAAAAAATAAAAAATTACTCATAAAAAAACTTATTAAAAAATAAATAAATAATAAAATAATTTATATAAAAATGAAAGCCAAAAATAATTATTGAAAATGATATCCATTTATATTAGTATAAATAAACATATTTGATGATCAATTTGCATTATAGAAACTAATTTTCATAATATTTGTATAATCACTCCAATGTGAAAACTACTTTCTATATTGAACCTAAATATATTAGAAAATTTTATGTTATATATTTTGAGATAAGTTACGTAACTACATTACGGGATTAATTTTTATAATAATATACGAAAATCAATTTTCAGAAGTAATATTATATATATATATATATATATATAATATATAATATAATTATCAAATTTCAATAATTTAATTATTAAATTAAAAAATTTTAATACAGTAAATTTTAAAAAAAAAATTGAACACGTAAGCTGGCGGCGAGAAGAGGTGGGACCCGTGTTGTAATTCATAATTGGGCCGAAACCAAATATTTGTCTGAGAAAGGAGAGAAATAGGCCCTAGGAAAAACAGTCACATTATCGTCCAAGACCAAGAGAGAAGCAACGAGCATTGGAATTTAGAAATCGCAGATTCAACGGTTAAGTGCTGATTCCCCTTGCAGCTGCGGTTTCTTCACTCTTCTTCTCTAGGGTTTTTGAACTTGACCATGTCTTCCCCTACTCATTTCGACGATGTAAGTCCCAGCATTTCCATCCCTCGCCACTTCCTTTCTCACGCGCACTTTCTTTAATACTACTTTGCCTTTTTCTCTCAATCGCAGGACTTTGATTTCGGAGGCAGTTTTGGCGGAACGCATTCAGGTTTTGTTTTCAAACGCACATGCTTTTGTTGTGCATATTGCGATTGTTTCATTCTTCTGAACTAGATACTCATACTATAGGTAGCAAGAGGTCATCTCCCGACTATGACGAGGATGATTATGAGAATGATCCTTTTGGACAGAAGAAGGTAATAGTTTAACGTATCTTTGATTACTTGTTTTTATCGAATTTTCGATTTTTTTTTTTTTTTTGAAAATCTGAAACTGCAATTTGTGCTGTTCCGCATTTAGTCCAAATCAAAAGCTGAAGAAGCTGCTTCTGGCGTCACAACAGGAATGATTTTGTCTCTTCGTGAGAGGTATTTCTTAGTTCACCTGTTGTGGATTGTAAATATTATATTATCTTCAAGTTGGATTAAATTGTTTGTGCCTAAATTTTTTCTCTGATTTTCTTTTTTGCAGTCTGCAGAACTGTAAGGATACGCTTGCTATATGCCAAGTATGTTTTCCTTCAATAATTATGTTTGTTTGCTTTTGCTTGAAAATTTTGCATACTAAGGGAAGCCTAGTTTAGTGATGTTTTTTTTCTTAACTCTATAGTCATGTGGGATAGAAGATTGCTCATGTACACCCCTCCATAGTTCCATTTGTTAATTCAAAAGAATTCACATAGCTGAGCCTAAGCTTTTGGAGTTGAGTATCCTAACAGAGTGGCCCAAAGTTCAGTATATAGGTTGACTTGTACCTTCTTTGTTTCCTAAAAATGTTTACCAGTTCATTGTACAATTCCAGAATGAACTTGAGGATGAAAAATATGAGATTAAGAAGTGGCATTTTTCATTTCAAAATGAACCTTTTATATCTGCTGGGACCACTCCAGGTTAGTTTATGCTTATTATTTTGCAAGTAAAAGATATGTTTTTTATTCATGATATGGTTTTGTTAATAGTTGTTTTCTGTGTTTTAAATATATAGCTAAGCAATTATTTCTTCTTTATACTTTCTAGCACCAAAATTGGTGATTAATTATCTTCAAGCTCTGAAATCATCTGAAGAGTCTTTAAGAGAGCAGGTTCAGAATCTAGTTTTTAATTTTTATGCTTCAAATGATCCAATATACATTGATCATATTTCACTGAGCCATTTCACTTTTCTACTGGTTATCAGCTTGAAAAAGCAAAGAAAAAGGAAGCTGCATTCATTGTCACATTTGCAAAACGAGAACAAGAAATAGCAGAGTTGAAGGTTGGTAATAATAATCTGAACATAAGGTTCTTATTCTTTATAGCATGTGTATGTGTTAATTTATTTATTTATTTTGTGTGTACATATATCACCAGAGTAGATTCCTTTTTTTTCCTTAAAAAATATATATATTTTGCTTGAGATCTCCAATGCTTTGTTTGCCAAAATTGCTGCAAAGCTTTATATATCCTTGAATCATGAAGGGTTTTGTATCACTTATTGACCTGCAGTTGGAAGTTAGAAAGTATTTTTGCCCCACTCAAAATTGAATTTCTCTTTTTGAGATTTGAGCTTTGGTTTCATTCTGTTTAGTAGTAAAATGTCTGGTTATCATGGTTGTCAAAATTTCAGTGCTACTGTGAGATTGGAATGGTGGAGTGATCTTGATTCCAGCATACTCATTTATGCTTGGATCATGTTCAGATATTTTGTTTAGTCGTATAATTGTCATGATCTTACAATCCTACTGAACCCACCGTAGCCATAAAATGCAGATGAATGAGCTGCCAAACATTTTAAAGGACCATACCAAACCCTGAAGATGACAACTGAAGACTGATGGAGATGAGAAATCCAAATTCTTGTGGTTGCTTGCCTGCTGTGACCTTAGCTGCTAATGAAATCTACAATTAAAGTAGTGTTTGGTCCAATTTTTTTTCTTTTTTTGTCCTTTCTTATCCTTAAAAGGAAAAAGCTGAGTCAAGGACATTTGGAGAAAATCTCTTCAAAAATTAAGTTGTTTAATTTTTGTAAAAGAAAATGGGGAAAATTAGCTTTAAAAAATAGCCTAACTGATGTAGCTTTTAATAAAAGCTGCATACCCTAACCTCTCTCTCCCTCCCAACCTGAATAAATAATGCAGGTCAATTGCTGTAAGACAATGAAATGGAGCTTTTAAGCTAAAACTACTAAATAACTTCTACTTTATTTTTAAAGCAACTTTTAAGCCTAAAGAAAGTTAAGGCCAAACATACCCTAAAATTAGATATATTCTTACTGACAGTGGCTTGCTGACATAAAGATGATGGTAGGCATTATTGAAATCTATGATTATAACCATGATGCCAGACCTTTCTGCAAGACTGAAACTGCTGTATCTCTTGCTTTGTGGGTCTTTTTTTTTTGACAATGGTTGGAGGGGAGTCGGGAGAGCTGAGGGAAATATCCTCACTCAATAAAAATCACAGTACACTCTACTTTCTTTTTCGCCAAGATATTAGACAATGAGCCACCTAACCAATTATTATACCAAGTACAGAATTCCTATTTTGTATAATGGTTTATAAGCATGTTGTGATTTTAAAGGTATTTTGCATATTGGTGCAAAATATTCTTTAGGTGTATCTATTTTCTTTTTCTGTAATCTGTATTATGAATTCATGATTTACTGGTCAACTCCTCCCATCCAATTTTTGGTAGGATGCACAAGTATGACAATCCTGATGATCTGTATGTTAGTATGTTTGCTTAATTTTCATGTGGGATTATGGGAGAGAGTCAAAGGTTAGAGGGCTGATGCTATCATATCTGTCATTTGATAGCATTGATATATTGTACATTATTGAATTATTGAAGATATATATATAATTGTCAATTTTTTACCCATGGATTAGGTGCTTACACCAATGAACCATGAATCAGTGCCTTATTTATTCAATGATTGGGATGAGTTTTATAACCTTAGTATAGAAGTTAAGAAAAGCTTGAAACTGATCCATTCTGTTTGGACCATTTTAACCTTGCCATAATGATTGAGTCTTATCTTGATCAGAAGATTCATAGCTACATGCATTTAACAAGTTTTAATACTTTATATAATTATAGTTTAAAATGATTTAGTATTATTTTTAGTTTTAATTTATCTTTTTTATGTGGTTGTCTAAACATTTCCAGTCTGCAGTACGGGACCTGAAAGCGCAACTCAAGCCAGCTTCTATGCAGGTATTGTTTACAATTAAGTGTTTTAACTGGATCTCTGAAAATAATCTTTTTCACTGATCATTCTTCATTCTTTATCAATTAATTTCAAAAGCACTATTGTTTTCCAATTTCTTTGATCCAATTTAAATATTGTTTTACTGATTCCTTGCTTCCATTTCTCAGATTTTTTATTGGATTTTATGTTTTACGTGTCTCATATTTTAGAAGAAATGTTAATGCTATGCTATCAAGTGCTAAATAGAGATTTCAAGTTTGCAGCATGTATAATTGCCTGCACTGTTTGTTTATTGGCAAAATTCTTTATAACCCAATTGATTTAGTTAAAATTTGTTTAAATTAGGTAAAAGGTATTTTTCCTCCCTTTAAACCAAGAAATCATTCCTCAGGAAATTTTCCATTTGTTGAACTTTATTATGTTCTGTAGTTAATAAAACCTGCAAACTTTCCTTGGTTGTACTTTTGCAAACTTTTTTGTTTTGTATCTTCCCTTATCTTTTGGACCATTTGGATTCTGCTATTGTATGTTACAACAACCAGGTTGTTTAAATCTTTTGTGTTGCTATTTACATGTAAAACGCTACAAGGTTGAAATGCTAAATTTCCCGGCCTTGTGTTGTATATCAAATTATCAACTGAAAAGGGGTTGGGTTGTAGAAAAATCACAACTTACCAGTTTGCTTCTTTATAATTAAATTTGTTTAATAGATTTGCAATGACACTGGTACTGACTGTAGGGATAGTTTCTTCTGGGGTATTACTTTGCTAAGATACTGAATTCAATAGTTGTCATAAACAGATAATGAGTCTGTTTGTCTAAACTTAAAAACAAGTCCTTAAATTTTTTTTTTTTTTTTTAAGTAGATACTAGATAGGAGTTACTTCTTAAAAAAAGCAGAAAACTGCTTATTTTAAAAAAAGAAGTTTTGCCAAGTACAACAAAAAGTAAAAAAGTGTTTATTTTATTAAAAAAAGTGCTTTTATAAGAAATTTTTTTTTTTGAACAAACAGACCCAATATATAGTGTCTTTGAATTTGATAAAGGTTGCTCTGTTGTTCTTTTACGACTTAATATATTGTCAACGTCATTTTTTGTATTTGTGGCATCTTTGTTATATAATCTTCATGGCCACATGCTTATTAGTTGAAACTTTAAAATTAGTGCTGCTGTGCGACTTCCAAATCAATTTAGTTGTATGCTGTTGCATTTCATGTTTTTTTCTTTTGGTTCTCCCCAAAATGTTACTGCTGTATTTCCTTTTGCTATTTAATTTGCAGGCAAGGAGGTTGTTGCTAGATCCAGCAGTTCATGAAGAATTCACTCGATTAAAGGTTTGTTATTAAACTTTGTTTTGTTTTTTATTGACTCAAGTTTGGTCTTCTGACATTTCAGGAAATGGGGATTATGTGTTATAACTCAGGTTGTGATCATAGTTTTATCTCCTCAGAGATACATTGAATAATTGACATCTTGTCTTCTTCTATGATGAAAAATGCTGTTTATTTCATAATTGTAGTTCCATCCTTTGTTCATCGGAGAATTTATGAAGACATTTTATTACCTTGTATTAACAAAACGAAATGGAACCATTTTTTATAAGTGGCTTCCTACTTTAGAATGTGTTTCAGATACGAACCATAGAGATAGAAATGATAACTTACATGGTGGTGTTAATTGTATAAATGGATTTTTCAGCTGCAATTATTAGCGATCACTTTCAAATTTTTCTGATGAATCCAGAGGGAGTGTGATGAAGCTTCTGAAATATGTGTACCTTTTATACATGTCTTCTGTTGATGTATTATGGCTCAGATTTAATTTTTTTATTTTTTGTTCTTGTGGCTTAAGATTGTTTATTTATTTATTACGTTTATATGCCACATGTCTTCATTTCCTGCTTGTATTTTCCAATTTTTTAGTAGTTTATTGACATATTATTTACATTGGTGATGACTCCTTTAAGTGTTTCTTACAAGAGTTCTGATCTGAACATAGAATTTAGTTGAGGAAAAGGATAAAAAAGTAAAGGAGTTGCAAGATAACATTGCTGCTGTAAATTTTACCCCACAAAGCAAGATGGGGAAGATGCTGATGGCTAAATGTAGAACCCTACAGGAGGAAAATGAGGAGATTGGGAATCAGGCATCTGAGGGCAAGGTGATGCTCTTCTCTTATCTTTATGCTTCTAACTTCTAAGTTCTAACTAATACTTTTTTCCCCTTTTATCCTCATTTGTTAGGGAGCTGGTTTTCTCTTACCTAATTCCACCCCAGGTTATAAGATACAGAGTGTCTCTGTGTGTGTGTCAATGTAGATTTGTATTTGTAAAATGCTTTATGATGCTTTCTAATACACAGAACACTTGTTGAGTTGTTGGAGTTTCTTTATGGTATTCAATGACTGGAAGTAATGTTACATGAGTGAACTATGAACACAACTGCGAAGTTTAATCAACCTAATTTATTTGTCATTATTGGTTGTTACTTGTTGCTGATATTTTCTTTGTTTTGCCTTTTTTTTTTTTCTTGGTGTGCAGATGCATGAATTATCAATGAAACTTTCAGTACAAAAATACCAAAATGCAGAACTCAGAAATCAATTTGAAGGTTGGTTGTAGAGTGATTTCATCTAATTTTGTTTCAGCATTTTAATGCTTTGATCTTTTACACAAGCTTCTCAATGACTGCTAGTTTCCTGTATCACTTTGTCAGATTCATTAAAGAAGTTCATTTATAATCAAATCACAGATTAATATTCATTCCAAAAACATATAATCAATAATATTATTGTGCGGGCTTAAAAAATAAACATCTGATGTACTATAGATACTATGGGTGAATGTACTGAACTTGGGACATTTTAACGTGTTAAATGCTTGTTAAGGAGGAATGTTAATTCTGTTGGTCCATAAAATTAGAGACTACGAATATTAAGAGTTATGCAACTGCTGATCTGTTATTTTTTTCTCCATGGGTTTGCAATTTGTGTAATCTTAATCCTTAAAATTGACTACAGGGTTGCAAAAACATATGGATGGATTGACAAATGATGTGGATAGATCCAATGAAATGGTTTCGCCTTACCCCTACCTTCACCTTTTAATGTTATTTTTCACTGCATGTTTGCTTCGCTATACTGTATTTGTTTTACTACATGTCAGATATGGAGATTAGTGGCGTTGTAGGGAAAAACCATTTCCGGACTTGAACAGAACTTTTGAGTTGGGGAAAGGTTTATATGGCATTCACGAATCATGAATGCTGATATGCAATAGATAAATGCTTATATATATAGATTAAAAAAAATTATAATAATATATATTAGTTTGGTTGAACAATTTAACAAACTAGATTTTACTTGCCACAATGAATAATAAGATTAATAATAACAACTAGATTTTGAATTTCCATAATTTGAGATTGAAGTAATCTTGTCTAACACAAACCAAAACAATCATATAAAATTAGTTGGCTTAAATGTTTCTAGTCTTAGAAATATAATGTTTTGTGAATATAGTCCCCAAACTTTTTAGTCCTTACATTTAACAAAAAGTTTATTAATGACTTCTAAAGTTTTAAGGTCTACAACCAAATAATATTTGAACAGGGACTACTTTATAAAAAATGATGTATTTTCAGAATTTAAAATTATCTGAATCAAATTACTTTTTAATGAATATATGCAAACACGATACTAATTCTTTTAAAATCTTCCGGCATTATTTCAAAAATATATTTTTCTTATGAATGTTGTTTCTCAATTCTCATTTGTTATCCAAATTCACGTTTATGTTTTGGAATTTTATTATGTTGATTCTTTTACGTGTTTAAGGTAATAGCGTGAGTATCCAACTTAAATGGGTTTACTGCAGGTGTTAATGTTGCAAGATAAATTAGAAGAGAAGGATCTGGAGATCCAAAGACTGAAAGATGAGTTGCAACCAAAAAACCTCGTGGTGGACGGGAAAACAAATCCGGCATCTAATAGGAAAGACGATGAAACGATACCCACGGAAGACGCTAACTAATATCAGTTTAGACAAAAAAGGTTAGTAAATACTCAAATTAGTTCCCGAAAAGAATCACTGGGAATGTTTTGATCATTAAAGGAAAATTATCATTTCGTCCCCAAGATTGTAAACATAGAACACTTGAGCCCTTTTATCCCAAAGATAAAAGGATTAAATAGATGAGTTTTTGGGGATTGAATTGGGTAAAGTGAATCCTTCTAGGATTGAATTGAGTGTTTATTCTGTGAAAGTGTTTGTACTGTCAATTATTTCTTTAGTATCATCTAATAGTAGTATATTCCTTAATTTCAATTTATAATTCGATTTTTTTTCTTCGCAAATGTGCAATTGTGAATATGCAAGGGGAATGGTTTTGCTTCTGCTTGGCAATCCGTATGGAATTACTACAATGCTCGTTGCTTCTGTGGCACTTGTGATAATTAGAGCATTCAGAAATTTTTTACAGCTTTAGATGGATTGGTGTAGTATCTTAGGAAATTGTTTTTCGTTCAAATTGTTGAGACATTACTCCATATCACCTCAGTTTTCATGCGCGTGATCGCTGAAACAACACTAGGCGACTTGGCGTGAATATTCTCTACAGTTATGACTTTATAATGTAGCATTTGCATTGTAGATAGACGATTCCCAGGTTTTGGTTGCGTGATTGGTATTTTGTTCATTAATTTTACGTTTTGCTAACCACGACACGAACATTCCAAACCGACATTGCAACGTTAATTGCAAAATTTTATGAGTGTCTAATTGTTGGCGTGATTTTGTTATTACCATCTAATGTGACCGATGCCTTCGTCAACTATAATCTGTCGGATTCTGAAGGTGGTGGTGACGTATTGTGTGGTGGGATCCTTATCCACAAGAAAAAAAAAATACTATATACATTCACAGTTTAAGAATCATTGATTCTCGTATTATAATCCAATCGTAAATCATTCAAGTACTTATTAGTTGAGAGTGAAATAATACATGTCAATTTAACAAAAAAAATATTAATAAGAGGTTTGGTTGACGCTTTATTTGATTTAAAAAATCTTTTATTGAACAGCATAAACAAAAAATATACAAAGCATTTAAACAACTGGTTCTAATTGGTTCCTCATTGTCGGTTTTACATATATTTTCAACAATTTTGAACTGTTTCAACAGATTTTCTTCAATTTGTAAAACAGTGGTTTTTCTTTAACGGACCCAACACATGTTGTTTTGCTACTTCTTTTTTAAGGAAAACTAAACTAGTCAGCCCAATTCAGTATTAGTCAAATCTCAGTTTGGGTTTAGGTTAAAACATTTTTTTAAATTTTACTTTTTATAATTTAAAATAGATATTTTCAAGTTTTCGTACATATTTTTTTATTAATCCATTTTAATCTTTTTAGTTTCAGATGGATTTTTTTAGTTTTTATACTTGTAATTTATTTTAAATTCAAAATAATTTCAGTAAAATGAATGATATAAGACACAAAAAGTTAAATTAATATATCTATCATGAACACAATAATAGAAGAAAATAAATTAACAACAAAGACTAAAATGATTAAAAAATTATAACTATCAGAACTTAAAAAAATATTTAAAATTACAAGACTAAAATTGATTAAAAAATATAAAAATTAAAAATATTTATTTTAAATTATAGAGACTAAAATGTAAAGTAAATAAAATTATAGAAACTTAAAAAAATATTTTGACCTTATTTTTAAAACTAGGTTTCTAACCTTTTAAACTTAGTATTTTTTATTTTTTTTTTGTCAAAGCCTGCTTTTGTTTTTAAACCAAATGATGTAAATAAATATTTTGAAGACATTGATAAGAGATGAAAATTATTATTCATCAAATTTATTTCACAATAGTTTATGATTAAATAAAAGAAATCATTCAATTGTCCATGCTAAATCTAATTAAACTACTTATAAACTCTTTCAAAGTCTCCTTACTAGACTGATCTTGTGATTTATGGGATTCCAATCTTTACAGTATTTTCGCTAGCAATTTTCCCCCCTTCTCATTGTCACTCTAAAAATATGAGATTGTAGTAACCACTAACCAGTACTTTCCCTTTAAATAACGTTCAAAGGCTTGTCTGATTCGTGCTTTTATTTTCTTGTCTCCATAACTTAAAAATATCATTTTTATTACAATTTTTTTTAAAATATATTTATAATTACATTTTCAAAAATAATTGTTTTCTTAAAATCTTAAGGTGACATTGCATTTACAATATTTTCATTTTATCTATAAGGTGCATAAGTAAAAAAAAAATATTTTAAAAAATAGTTATAGGAATAATAGAAACTTTATTATATTATATTATATTTCTTTTAGCTGCTTAGTCTATTTGAATAAAATAGAAAAATCTTTTTACTTAATTAACGATACCTTGGCCATAGGACTAAATAGTGATCAATATAACATTAAAATAAAGAGCAATGATTTTTGGATAATCTGTTTTTCTAATTCGTTAGTTAATATTTACTTATTTTTTTTCTTTGGTACTTGATTTCAAATAGGGTTTTTAAAAATGAATATTGTAAAACAAAATTGGTAAAGCGATAATGGTAGAGTAAAGGATAAGCACAGGAGTGAGGAGAGAAGTAATGAAGGGTTGGTTGCGTGTTTCATAAAGCCAAGGACACCCCTTCCCAGCCTGCCACGTCATTAGCTTCCGGACACTTCTCAATCAACAAGTTCCCACCGCTCTATTATTTCACTCTTTATTAATATATATATATATATATATAAAATATAGAAGAAGGTTATAATAATACCGCAACCGCAAGTATTATATTGTTTAATAACTTTATATTAAATGTAAATTTTGTAAATCTAACTGTTAAATTGAAAATTTTTTACTCTTAAATTATATATACAAAATTTTATATTAATCCAAGATGATTTGATATTTCATTTTTATAAAATAAAATTGACGTAATATATATATTTTAAAATATACTAAAATATGAACATTTTGATAACCTTCAAGTTGTTGTTCAATTTTAACAAAATTTGATATACATATAAAGTGATATGAACTTTTAATCTAACAGTTGGATTTATAAAATTCACATTTAATATAAAGTTATTGAGCGGTATAATACTTAGTAAAAATTACACTAGTATCGTTTGAACCCTCCTCTATAATATGAACTTTCAATCTAACGGTTGGATTTATAAAATTCACATTTAATATAAAGTTATTGAGCGGTGTAATACTTAGTAAAAGTTACACTAGTATCGTTTGAACCCTCATACATATATATATATATATATATATATTATATATCATAGATATAGGTAGATTATATATTATAAATGAGTGATATTATTATTAAAATCTAAAATACAATATAAAACAAATGAAAAGACATGTTTACGACCCGCTATGGCTG